TTATTTTTCAGCGGCTTGTCTATTTTTTATATTGTACAATATTTCATTTTGATCCGATTTCATTTTAATCCGTCACAATTATTAATCCATATGATAATAAGCCGTTGTCTTAAAATAATCTGATAGAACATAGTAATTACTATATTTTTAAGATTATTCTTAAGACAAAACCCATTTAACATACCTGTAAAAGATATGCACGAACAGTTTTAGCAATTCCGTTTGATGTTTTAATTTTTGTAATTACTTTTGGAATATCTGAGTAAATGCTTATTCGTGTTTCTTCTTTTGAAAGAATTGATCCAATAATACACCCAAGTATAGAAGAATATTTTAGTTGTGGTTTTAACTTAGTATTGTCTGTCATTGCAATGATTGGACCATTATATTGAATCGTGTCAATAAGCCGTTTAAAGCGAGCAACATTTTCAAAACAAAGATTTGGATCAGTTAAATAATCTTCATTATTACGGCGTAATTTTCTAATATATATCGAATGTAAAATTCAAAATATATGTTGAGATACTATTAAGATTCCAACTTTTCATTGCATTGCAATAACTAATACCTGAGCGACTGAATTCCTCTTCCTTCCAAGTTTTGACGAAATAAATCTAAGGCTCTTGGACTAATACTTCCCAGAATAACCAAAAAATTTGTAAATGCTTCACTATATTTTATATTTTGTTTACTTTTATTCTTAGCTTTTCGTTCAGCAGCATCACTCATTACTTTGCAAAGTCCTAAAAAGACTGGTGAATCTTTAAATGCTTCGTTTATAGCCTTGTTAGCCAATATAATCCAAGGATTTGACGTTTGATCTTCGTTATCATTATTAAGTAAATTCCATATATCACGAAGATCAAGATTTTGAAGATGATTTTTCAAGGAATTATTTTCCCAATAAAATTTAGGTGTAAATTTAGCATTTTCTGGTGCTGATATTTTTCTTAAAATTCTATTACAGAGATTTTTATCGAATCGAATATAACGACATTCATTACAAATATCGCCTTTTTCTGCAATTCCTGAACATGTCTTAGCACGTACAGCATTACCTATTTAGAACAGTAATAATTATAATTTTATTTTATTCAAATTAAATTATTAATAATATATAGTAATTCGTATAACTTACTATTTCGATCTATTTGCCAAGTAGACTCTGCATATAAAGCACGATTTAATTTTTGCTTTTGATCATAGTTTAGCTTTTTCCTACTAAATTTCTGAAAAAATAATTTTGGAAAAATTTCACGTGCAACAACTTCTATGCGGCGTGAACCGCCAAATTGTGCTGGAGTACGTTTAATATAATCAGAAATTTGTTCAGATTGAAGACCTTGGCAAATTAAACGTTTTTTAGACTTTTGTCTATCACTTAATGATTCATTATTTGTGAGAATAGTCAATGCTAATGTATCATCATTTACTTCTTCTGCTTCATCCGTTTCATCTATTTGTAACAAATCATCATCGTCCATATTATTATAAATGTCTGAATCCCATTCTTCATCCGAACTTGCAAGTTGGTTATTAGTAGGTTTAAAAAAATTATAAATTGATCTTTGGCCCTCCTTAGCTTTGCAACCAGAACTTTTAGCATGTCGCTCTAGATAATCTTCTTCCCATTTTCGATGCAGTTGAATCTTTTTGCCGCATATACATATAACCTTTTTTGGATTAATAATATGAGCACAAAACTCATGTTTTAGCAGTCGTTCTTTACTATATTTCCACTTAGACATTGTTTCTTTTTTTTTTTTTTTTTTGTTTTTAAAATCTTTGACAAAATTTTTATAATATCTTGTTTTAATGATTTAGACCAATCTAAAACATTAAAATATTGTCCGGCTACAAATAAGTTTTTGTATTTTTTTTTTTTTCCTGCTTATTTATATATAGTACTAACAAATATATTTTTAATATAGTACTATTAATACGAATACAATTACTTTAATTATAGCTTTAACAAACAAAAGTTTTTCTTACTTGATACATTCTTGGCACTCTACGTACTTTCTAATATTTTATTAACTCACGCGTTTTGTTTTATTAATTCGAATATAGAGTTTTTTATTTACAACGCTATTTGTTTTTTGTTAAACATCTTTAAATTTATAAAACCCCAGGTTTATTTTAATGTGAAGCCGTCACTTAGTAGATCAAATTATATATGATATATCTAATTAAATCTATTTTAAATATATTATATTCGTTAGACAATTAAATAACAGATAACGTTGATATTAGAATATGAATATAGCAAACAAGACCGACCTGTTCTTAATTATATAATCGATACGTAACAGGTTTTTTTCTTGGCAGTATATATATTTACACTAATTTTATACTAAAATATACATTAGTAGCCTCTAACATCTTAAAATTTGATTAAAATTAGGCAACTTGAAAATCTAACTTTTTTTATAAATTTAGCCAATTCTACGCAAATCTAGATCTTACATATAAAAAGGTTATTAAGTTGGCTACGCATCTAATGCACTAACCTATATATGAATAGCTCGGGGTCCTATAGAGGTAATAGTGAAATATCCAATCTTGAATATTTGTTAAAAAAGGTTATAACAGTATCACCAGCTGAGTTAGATAGTTAATACTTATTAACTATCTCTATAAATTCATAATAGGCATTATTAGGCCATTCAACAGTTGGTAGATGTTCCAAATCGGTAAAAGCATTATTATAAGATGCACCTTTATAGTCTTCAAGATCACATTCTACCAAAGAAGACATATTTGTTGAAAAAGGTTCAATTTTCATATCAAAATGAGATGTTATTGATATATCTTTATACTAAAAAAATTTAATGTTATGCTGTATTTTATAACCTATAACTTATAACTATTTATACAACTAATTTATCTAATAAACTTTGGTGTCCATAGAAGAACCTGATCTGGATTGAGATAATTCTGGTATAACTTCATCCTATAACAAATATAATTGCTTAATAATGCTTTTAAGAATCGTCTAATAACTTTATAAATTATAAATATTTATCCCATATATTATAGAGCTATCGTAATTATATTCTGAAAAAGAATCATATTCTGGAAGAACATAAATGCTTTCATCAACTTGTTTAGTAGGAATGGCTTGAGTTGTTGCATATATTAAATTATTAATATAAAAATGACTTTGTGGAATATGTTGTAACAATGCAAAAGATTTTGAAAAACTATCACTACAATAGTCACAGTACCAATGCATTTTAAAAAAAGAAAAAAAGAAGAAAAAGAAAAAGAAAGATAAAGAAAATAAATGAAAAAAGATAAAAAAATAATAGAATAAAGTAAATGAAATCAAAAGAAGTGAATAAGACCAAATAAAATATAAATCAAATAAGAAAGAAGAAAATAGCAATAGATAGCAATAAATAACGAAAAATAGCAAGAGAAAGAAATAAAAGGGATGCCAGAACACCAGAACCTGGACAGAATTCTGTTTCTCAGATTCAAAAGATAAAGATAAAAAGAAATATAAGGAAAGAGAAAGAGAGAAGAAAGCAATTAAAGAAGAAAAAAGTGAATGAAAGAGAATAAAAGTAAATGAAATCAAAGGAAGCAAATAAGGATGAATAAAATATGAATCAAATAAGAAAAAGGAAATAGAGATAGATAGCGATAAATAATGAAAAATAGCAAGAGAAAGAAATAAAAGGGATGCCAGGACACAGAACCTGGACAGGATTCTGTTCCTCAGATTTAAAAAATAAATATGAAAAGAGATATAAGAAAAGAAAAAGAGACAAAAAAGTAATTAAAAGAGAAAAAAGTGAATAAAAGAGAAAGAAAGAGTGATTAAAGCAATATATCGATTTTGAAGGATGCAAGAAAAAAGATAAATAGCAGGAATAATGAATTAGATGGTTTATGACTAGATGATTTTAATCAATATATATTGATTTAAACTATTCTTTCTTCAATCAAAACAAATGGGTATTATGTAATAATACAAGCAAAAAACTAACATTATATTATGTAAATTATTTTGATATAATCAGCGAAAAATTATCGATAATAAAATAAAACTCAGAAATTATTATTACATATGTAGTGATAGTAAATTGTTATGCTATGCAAAATAATCAAAACAACAAATAAGATAAGTATACTTTTGCTCTTTTTTTTCTTTATTAATCGATTGACATCATCAATATATTAATTTTATTATTATTTTCTAGATTTAAGAATAAATAAGATATGTATATATTTTTTTTAATATTATATAATATTTTTTTTTTTTTTTTGGTGTTAAGATGACCTCTACGGCCAGGGACTTTTTATTAACTTATTAACTTCAGGTTATACAGTTACAATGAGGGTACATCAAGCCACACGTGTACT